TCTGAACCTCGCCACAGCATCTGCGGTGACAAGGGAGACAGGTGTTGACAAGGACTTGCTGTCCAGGAATTTTCTTTTCCAGTGACAGCTCCATTCATCTCACTGAGCTTTGCCCAGAGCTCTACGCTGGCTGTGCCCTGGCTCTGTGAGCCGCAGGGCACAGTCAGCTGAGAAGAGCAAACCTGTGCCAGCCAGCTGGGGCTGGAGAGCCAGGCAGGGAGGCCAACCAGCCTCCAGGGCCAGCAGTCAGGGCCCAGCAGGCAGGGAACAGGCCAGGAGGCCAGGGGACTCAGGGCAGCTCTCACAATGCCCCCTGGTGGCCGAGGGAAGCCCTAGCGCTGCCCAACCCCGGCTCCCACTCACCAGCCAGGACTGACCCAGCTAGCACCTCCTAACAGTGTGTGCCCTACAGCCTCTCCTGCCTCACCCTAGCCCTCGGCCTTCACCTTAGGATGGTGGATGGAGGGGTACCTTGCTCTCCTGAGGGGGCGGGGGCTGGGTGGGAGGAGGGGTAGCTGAAGCTGTACCAGGAGAAGGCTGGCGGAGGGCCTGGGGTCCTTTCTAGCCCGGTGGCCCCAGACACTACCTCTGGAGTCCTGGTTCCACGTGGGCACAGACTGGACGCTTCATGCTGACTTGGCAGCTTGTTTCCGGTCCCTGTAGTAGTCTGACAGCCTTGACTGCACCTAAAGGCGCTTTTCAGCCAAGGCAGGATGCTGGGGGAGGGGGGCACAATTTGGTAGTTCTCAAAAAATTAAACAGAGAATTACCATATGACCCAGCAATTCCACTGCTAAGTACATGTCCAAAAGAATTGAAAGCAGCGACTCAAACTGATCTTTGTGTGCCAATGTTCATAGGAGTATCATTTATAACAGTCAAATGGCAGAAACAACCCAAGGGGCTACCATCCGATGTGGATAAACAAAAGTGGTATATCCACAAAGTGGGATAGTATTCAGCCAAAAGAAGTGATTAAGTACTGACACATGTCTAAACCTTGAAAACATTATGCCAAGTGAAATAAGCCAGATAATAAAGATAAATATTGTATATATAATATGTAGGCGAATTCATGAAAACAGAAATTAGAATAAAGGTCACCGGAGCCCCGAGTGGGAAATGGGGAGTTACTGCCTAATGGGTGGAGTTTCTGTTTGGGGTAATAAAAAAGTTCTAGAAATAGATAATGGTGATGGATACACTTAATACCACTGAGTCATACACTTGAACATGGTTAAAATGGTAAATTTTGCTGTATTTTGCCACAATTAAAAAAAAAAATCTAGGGTGTTGTCTTGCATAGTAACTTCTTTGTAATAGGATCAGGGATCCTGGAAAAGCCAGAGTCAGAGAAGCTGCCCCCACTTAGGCCTGAGCATGTCCCCCCTCAAAAACATGCGGTCACGTCTGCAGTCTGGTAGCCAAAAGAGGGAGCCCAAAGGTGACTGTCATCAGTGAGAACCAGTCTCAGAAGTGGTGGCTGTGTGACGGGTGAAGTTGGAGGGTTTTAATTGCTCCTGAATTAATGTGCTTACTTCTCACCCCTGGGGCGCCTGGGTTTAATTACTGTCTTAGGTCACTATGCAAATGAGCTTGCTATCAATTCCTGTCCCAGCGGAAAGCAGCCCTGATTACCAAGCCCTCACACTCACTCTGCGGCAAGGGCAGGAGGAATGGGGATGCCACTGGCCAGGCAGCCTCCCATTAAGAGCTGAGGGGCGTAATTAGATGAAGGTGGTGCCTACCTGCCCTGTTTCTGGGTCTTAGATGAGCTGGAGAGTTCAAGGTTGTGTCTGGGGCGTCATTGCTACCATAAGGCACAGGGAGATCAGCTGTCAATGGCAAAGAAGCCCCAGAGGACCTGAACTCACAGAACGCTTGGGGACAGGATTTTTACAGAAAAGGAAAGTTGGGAACAGAGCCTGCAAAACAGACCACGGAGCAGGGCTGCAGGTTCAAAAGCCACGGAGGGCCTGGCAGGTATGTGAGGGAGCAGGGAGGTGGGGCCTGCTGCTGCCTTCTCGGATCGCAGGCCCAGTGTCAGGCCCAGTGTCGTCCGCCTTCCAATCTGCTAAAACCCGGAAATAGGAAGTTTTACAAGAAATCTGTTTCTTTTAGATTTTGACAATTAGAAGTTTTTGAAAACATTGGGTCCAGGGGTTAAGGGTAGAGATTGACTGGGAAGGGGCTCCAGGAACTCTTGGGGTGCTGGAAAGCTTCTCAGTCGTGACGGTGGCACTGACTACCCAGGTGTATTTGTGAAAACTCATCAAACCGTATACTTTAAATGGGTGCCTGTTACTGAATGTAAATTACCCCTCGGTAAGGCCGTTAAACCGCAGGTCAGCTCGGTGGGTCCCCATACCTCTCCCTGGGCTGCTGTGAGCTTTCCACTCCAATCTTTCCCATTTGTTTAATCACCACTGAGGGGGCTTTTACATGCTCTAAAGACCCCCATCCCCTTCCTGTGTCCTGTCCCTCCTTAGGCGAGTCTGTCTGTGCCTGTTTAATTCATTTTATCCCAAGTAACAGCCTAAGTCGATGCCATCGTGCAGAGTACTCACTGTGTGACAACCCGAAGCTGAACTGTATTAGCTCCATTTTACAGATAGGGAAACTGAAGTACAGGCCTCCCGTGGAAGGGCCAGAACCCAAGCCCTCATCTAGCTCTCCTGTGCTCCCCGCCACTGCCCAGCCTGCACTGTGGCTGCTGTCGGGGGAGCAGGTGCTGGGAACCGCGCTGCTTGGAGGTGCGCTGACTTGGCTGCATGTACAGGTCCCAGCACAGAATTTGCAGCCAAGAGGCAGGCTCCGGTCACAGAGCCTCTGCAACATGGCCCAGCTCTGTGGACTGTCAACGGCATTCAGCTGCCATCTCCCAGCCTCAGCTGCATTCATCAAAACAGTATCAGGGCCGAGGCTTTTCGGGGAAAACCTGGCAGCCTCCACCGTCTCCCTGCAGGCTTGGCATTCTAGCTCTGCCGGGTCATCGGCAGCCCTGCACTTCGTTTACTCTTCTGCACAGCGGTTCTCCAGCTTGGCTGCACGTGGGTCAGCTGGGGGGACCTTAAATATTACTGATGCTTTGGGTCCCACCCCGAGATTGGTTTTCTTAGTCTGGGCAACAGGGGCTTTACAAGCTCCCCCCAGGTGACGTTGGTGCATGGCCAACATTGGAGAACCACTAACATTGGAGAACTCACATTTTCAAGTGGTTTCTGTTTGAATGTCAGAGATGCAGTTATCTGGGGCTTGGAGAATATGAATGAAATAACATTTTTTGTAGAAAAGCGTTTGTAATATGAAGTTTAAAAAAAAAGTATAGAGACTACAAACATGCTGTTTACTTTAGAAACACTCAAATTTCCTGGTAAGCCCATGGGGTCCAGAGACATGTCTAACCTCCCAGGACGTCATAAACCCCACGAATGGTTTCCTGGGAACTTGGAATTCATGTTGCCTGCCCTGATTCAGATGGCACCCCCAGGAGGTCCCTTGGTCTGCAATCCTTCCAGCTTCTGCCAGTTGGTCAGTAGCGTGCTTTGTTTCTGCTGGGTCAGAATTTGTTACGTGTCCTTATCCATCGAGCCCCAGCCGGTGGCCTTCTTTCAGGGTGGAGCACCTCTGAAAGAGCTCCTACCTACACCTGCCTTCGAACCTGAGCGACAAATGCCTTTATCAGTGTCAGAAAATGCTGACGTTAAACCAAGTTTAAAAATACTAATGCCAACTTGCTGCTCTAAGCCTGGGATAAACAAACACTCTAGTAACACTGTCTGCCCCCTTCCCAGAACCAATTTTCAGGTAGAAACCAGCCATTAAAAGCATGGAAGAGTGGGTGGCTGGGGTGGGGGTGGTGGAGGGGTATGGGGTGTGTATGTGTGTGTGTGTGCACGTGCCATACCTGTCAGTAGGGCTGTTATTGCTGTTATTGGAGATTAAGGACAATTCGTGAGCGGCTGCAGCACTGACATGCGATGGACTATGACAGCTTTGTGACCTGTCAGCTTAACTAGAGTCCTGTCATTCAAATACTGATCCAGGTATCACTTGAAGCTATTCTGCAGACATAGTTAAAGCCACTCATTAGCTGTCTTTAAATAAGGAATTTTCCTGGATGACCTGTGTGGGTCTTCCCATGAGAAGTGCACCTGTGCCCATGGAGTTCCGTCCTGGTCACCTTCCCTTCTGACTGGCTGCCGTATGGATTTTAGATTTGCTTAGCCAAACCCCACAATCACAGAAGCCAATTCCTTGTGATAAATATGATATATATATATATCTTCTAGTTCTGCTTGAGTTAAATCCTGACCAAGAGAAAAACAATGAACAAGAATGTCCACAAGGGGGCCTCCTGGTCCTGATTCTATTAAAACAATTTAATAAAGTGATCAAATTATTTTAGGGGAAGAAAAATAAAATGCTAAAACATCAAACTTCTTCAAGGGAAGAAGTGTGGTTGCAGAGAGCAACCACAGCACTTTCTCTCGGACCGCCTCATAACCTGAGCTAATTACTGTGGAAAAGCGCTTCCTGCAATGTTAATGTTTGATCGACTCTACCCAATACAGTGGGCTCCAGCTATGCGCAGCTTTTGAGCACTTGAAATGAGGTCAGTGAATTAAATTTTAATTAATCTCGATAAGGTTCCAAGGCCCTCTAGATAACCTCTCTCCCTGGAGCTACCTTTTAACGCTTCTTTTACCCGCTTCTCCCCGGATAGAGGAAATCAACATTCCAGCCTGCCCAAGATGGTTCGCTTTCCTCCCAGTCCCTCTGGTTTGAATATGGTCAGGTGACCTAGAAGCCACAGCCTTTGAGACAATCTGCAACAGCTCTGCATTTGTTTCTTCTCCCACAAGGACAGAGGCTCGCAGACTGTCCCCCGTGTACACACACACACACACACACACACACACACACACACACACACACACACACACACACACACACACACACACACACACACACACACACACACACACACACACACAGAGTATTTCTACTGGTCACTGAAGCCTTTTTATTTTGCACACAAAACCACTGGGGACCGTACCTGTGAACACCTTGGAGATACAATGTGGATACACTTGGCGCCAGGGCCTTGGGAAGCGAGGTGAGAACAGTGATTTCGGCAATCACATGACTACAAAACTAGGGCTTCTAGCAGGGTTCCAGATGGTCAAGTTTGGCTTTGTAGCGGTTCTAAGGAAGCAGTGAGACCACCACAGGGATGGGGGCGGGCAGTTAACCACCAGCGGCTCCTGCAAGTATCGGCTGGGGGCCTGGAGCTGCCCGTGGGGACGCTGGGAGCAGAGGTCTAATTAGCTGACTTGTGACCGCATGCCTCAGAGGCTCGCCTGCCCGGTGCTTACTTGGCCAGGGGGTTTCTGAAGTTCCTGCCGGCAAACTTGGCCTTGCTGCCCAGCTCCTCTTCAATTCTTGGGAAGGAGAGAAGAGAAAAACAGAGCGCTCTCAACGCAGGAAGTTTTCGCACCCAGAGATGTGGCAGAAACACACCTCTTCCCAGCAAGCCATGACCCCGGCACCTGCCTACTCTGCCCAACTGATTCTCCAATCTTCTCACACTGAGCTTCTCTGAGATGCGGGAACAGAAGAGCATTCTGCTCTCATCACCCTCCCAACTCACTTGGTAAGTTGTCACCTGCTGCCCCTTCTCCCCACTGCCCCCCACGATGTTTCTGAAGGACAAAATAGAAGAAATGTCAGGGTTGCTATTTCTTTGAACATACAAAATTTTTTCTAATGGAAAAACAACCCAGTTTCTTCAACAAATAAGTGGCGTGGGGTAAAAGGAGGGGGACTTACTGAACACAGGGTCCTGGTGAGACTGAACAGATGAACAGACTGGGTGTTGATATTATGGAATTATTGCTAGCTTGGGGCACTAAACACTAGAGTGGTTATGTTAAAAAATAAATCTTTATTTGAAAGATATATACTAAAATATTAACAGGTGAAATCGTGAAATATTTTAAAATTTGTTTTAAAATTCTCAGCAAAAATCACAACTAGAGCGTAAAGAGATGAGCATGGAGGAACAGTGACAGCCACTGCATCTGGGCGATGAGAAAAGGCAGATATTCCACTATTTGCTTTTTTTTTTTAATGCTTGAAATTTCCTAGGTGTTTTAAAGAAAGGATGAGGTGGAAAAAACATATGAAATAGGCATTTCCCCCGCAACAGTAGCAGAAGTAACAAAAAGGGGTGTTGGGGGGGCAAGTTTCCCTGTGTTTGGGAGTTTCCTAAGGACAGAACCAAGACAGAGGGGAACCTCTGAAGGTGCTAAACAAGGGAAACCCTGCTGTTTGCCCTGGAGTAATTTTCTTCATCTCTTTGAACCCTCATTTCCTTGTTTACAAAATAAGGGTGCTAAATTAGATAATCTCTAAGGTTTCTATAATTTTATGATTGTCCACAGGAGAGCCTATTCCCTCTCCCGCCAGCAGATGGTAGCATTGCATGGGCCAGGCTTCTGCTCAGGGACCATGCAGCAAGGCTCCTCCTGTTCTAGGCCCAGCCGGGGCCCAGCCTAGCACTGCTTAGCCCCCTCATCCATACACAGGTGGAGGGCAGCACCCACACACTCGGTGGACACATTCTCTTTACCTGAGAATCTGGTTGTACTTGGCCAAGCGCTCAGATCGGCAAGGAGCACCTGTCTTGATCTGGAGAAAAGAAAAGGTCAAGTTTGTTTATAGTGGGCACTGAATCTTGGTTTTGGGAAAGGGGAGGGTGCCAGGGCAGATAGGATGGTTTCTTATGGAGAATCTCGGACCATAGGAAGAAGGGGATCCAAGGGGCATCCAGGACACCCCCCACCCCGATATGTGCCAGGAAGCCCAGGGTCAGAGAGGATGGACCATCTCTCTCTCATTCCCGGGGGCCCTCACCTGCCCGGTGCAGAGCCCCACCACCAGGTCGGCGATGAAGGTATCTTCGGTCTCCCCGGAGCGATGAGACACCATGACACCCCACCCATTGGACTGGGCCAGCTTGCACCTAGAAGCCAGGGAACAACCAGATGGCACGACTATTTCCCGGGCACAACAGCCCTGTCTGATGCCACGACATTACCCCTGGCAGGAGACCAGCGGAGGGGCCAGGATCTAGGAGCAGCTGCTCGCTCTTGTCCAGGGGAAGATGACGGTCCTCACCCTCCTGTGACCTCACACAGCCCTGAGGACCCCATCAGCCCTCTAGTCACGTTTGAAAAACAGAGTTCAGTCTTCTTGAGGGAAGGGAGAACTATCTCCTCGGACCCATGTTCTCCGTGTGAAATTAAATTACAAGTCTAGGGTTACAAAGTGGCCAGGATCAGGTCATAACTGCCCAACACCCTAGTCCCCTTGGTGCCATCGCTTATTTTAAAAGTCTCCCCTCCCCGAGTCTGAATTTGAAGCCCCGGTACAATTCCAGTCATGAGGGCTCCCCAACACTGGAAAGGGACTTTCGTTCAGATTGAGCCCCTTGCTCCACGACAGCTGCTCCCGAGGGCACTTACGCCTTGAGAGACTCGGTCACCGAGCCGATCTGGTTCACTTTGAGCAGGAGGCAGTTGCACGATTTCTCGCCCACGGCCTTGGAAATGCGCTTCGGGTTGGTCACTGTGAGATCGTCCCCCACCACCTGGATTCCTGCGCTGGCAGTGAACTTGCGCCACGCTTCCCAATCATCCTGGTCGAACGGGTCTTCAATAGACACCACTGAGGAAGGAGAGCCAGGAGCCATCAGTGTGACCCCTTGTCTGCTGAACAGCGACCCCACAGTCTCACTTCCCGCCCGACTTGCACCTCTGTCACCTACGGCCAGGAACAGCTCCCCAGCTCACGTCCCGGAAACGCTGCCCTCCCGACTGCTGTGACAGGGCGCCAGTCAGCTGCAGCCCTGGGACCTTACACTACGTGGGGCGCTCACTGGCCCGGGTGGTGTGAGCCTAGGGCCACCGACGGAGCTAGGAACTAGAGGGTGAAGATCCGAGTTTGCATCTCGGCGGCACCTTGAGCAAGCCGTATAGCTGAGCGGTGACCCGCAGGGTCTGGGTCACACTTCCTGGTCTGGAATCTGCACCCCACTTGCTGAATGCCCTCAGGCAACTTCGGGACGCTCTGTGCTGCAGGTCCCTCTCTCATAAAACAGCATTGAGTCTCTACCTACCCTGCCTGTAGGAGGTGAGCACAGCCTAAGAAGCACTGGCTCACTCTGCATGACAAAGCTTGCTTTCCTCAGCCAAGACCGAGTATGCTGAGGCTGCTGTGACAGTGACAGAAGGCAACCACATGGTGTAGATCACCTATCACAGCGTCACCGCTGGCTGGCACTGAGGACCCACCCCAACTCCTCTTCAGCACCGCACCAAACCCCCTATTACTGTGTGCACCCGACCTGGAAAGGCCCCTCAGGATGCCCAGTGCTGCAGCCCCCAGCCGGAAGCACTCACCTGGGTAGTCCTTGATGAAGGACTTGTATAGGTCGGCCAGCTGGTCAGGGGTGATGTACCTGCTGGGGTCATCGGGTGACTTGAAGTCCAGGTCATACTTCCCCGACCTGAAGAACTCAGATGCAGCCACATCCATGCCGATGACCACCTTATCGGTATAGCCGGCTTTCCCGATGGCATTCTTCAGCAGCTCCAGGGCTAGAAGCAAGAATGGCAGCAAGCGTGGAAACCAGGCAGGAAGAGGTGAGACTTCCCTTTAGCAGCTGCCTAATGGGAGCCTGACAAAGCCCATGAGGAGCCGTGGCCCCGCCCACCGTCAAGGATTCTGGCTGCTTTATCGGCTTTGGGACCAGACACCATCAGTCAGCACCCATACTGCATCACCAAGTGGGAAATTCAATCTTGACTCTAAAATAGGGATCCCCAACCCCTGGGCCACAGACCAGCAGGTCCATGGCCTGTTAGGTGAGCAGCAGGCGAGCGAAGCTTCATCAGTATTTGCAGCCGCTCCCCAGCGCCAGCATCACCGCCTCAGCTCCCCCTCAGGTCATGAGGTGTTATTCTCACAGGAGCACCGGTCCCTGGTGCCAAAAAAGTTGGGGACCTCTGGGATAAGAGGCTCTCTGACAGATGCTCCCAAATTTAATGCCCAGAAACGCTGTGCTGGCTGAGGAACAATTACAGTGACCGGCTGAAATCAGCTGTCCTGAGGAACAGGCTTTAAATAGAGCGAGGCTGGGATCCAAGAGGGAGCAGAGGGAAGGAGAGCATAGGACACTGGGCCCCGCCTCCAGGCTCTGCTGCCCAGAGCTCAGGCTCAGCCTCACTTGGCCACGCTGCCCATAGGGAAACCGATAAAACCACGTGGCTCCTGTTCTACAGCAAAGATCTCCCGCTTTAGATAGAACCATGTGAAAGGGACATTTTTTAATAGGTCAAAATGGCCAAACACCAGCAATTTCCTGCTCTCCATAGAGCAGGCTGGGTTGTTTCCTTTCACTAGGTGCCCTTGAAGGCAACAAAAGATGCTTGAGCCCCACTTTTCCTTCTAAAACAAAAATCTCAGTGGTGAATTCTTGTTCTAAGACAGTCCGTACTCTCCACTAAATTTTCACATTGAATTCTGTCCCTAAGAATTTAGAGCAAAAAACAGGTGTGTGAGCATCCCTGTGGGTGAAGAACGAACTAGATTATCGATCACAGTCCTCAATAGATGGCATCTCCTCAAACACTGACAGATTTCAAAGCTTTGCCCCTGATGGCGAACCATGCCATCACAAACGAACGATCAGGCTGTTCAGAAGTCAAACTAATAAGAAAATTCCTTGCTATTTTTTTTTTTTTAAAAAGTGAAGTGCTAGTTCCCACATCCCTCCCCAAAAGTCTGTGCAGTTCTGTACTTTGATACTTGAAGAAGGAAAGGTGGAAAGAACAATGTTCCCCAGGTGGCAGGTGTGGCAGATCAGACAGAGGTGGGCAGGGCCACGGAACTCAGGGGTCCCTCCAGAGCCTTTACCTTCCTTATTCTCTAGGATGTTGGGAGCGAACCCGCCTTCATCACCCACGTTGGTGGCATCTTTCCCATATTTCTCCTTGATGACGTTCTTCAGATTGTGGTACACCTCTGCGCCAATGCGCATGGCTTCTGTGAAGTTTGCTGCACCCACGGGAAGGATCATGAACTCCTGCATGGCCAGCTTGTTGCCCGCATGAGATCCACCGTTGATGACATTGAAGGCCTGTGGGGAGACAGAAGTAAAACCACTGGCTCAGAGAAGCCCACGAGCGGCAAGCCCCCGACATCCAGCTGCACAGCCACATGTGGCTATGCGATGCTCCTGATCTCTTGGTAACTAACTGCAGTCATCACTGCCAGAGGCGCTCCCTGTTTGAAGCACTGGCTGCTCTCAGCGGATGCATACAGCTCAACGAGTACAATTTTCATTCTCCTATCGACCTTAAGAGACTTTGGGGGCAGGCAAGTTGAGTCACTTGCTCAAGGTCACCCTTAGCAAATGGCAGAGGACTTATCCACCGCCGAGACCTTCAGAGCCTGCTCGCGATCCACCACACTGAGAGAGTCACAGGTGGATGAGATCAAGACGTGAGTGGTCTTGGGGCCCTGTGGAAATTAACGCTCCCAATCCCTCATTTGGGAAGTCTGAAGCCACTCACGGGAACTGGCAGGATGACCTCAGAATTGCCAGCCAAGTCAGCGATGTGGCGGTACAGGGGTACCCCCTTCTCAACAGCTCCAGCCTTGCAGACGGCCAAGGACACTCCCAGAATGGCGTTCGCACCAAATTTAGCTAGAACGGAACAGAGTTAAATTGAGGTATTTCCTTCTCGCCAACCTTTTCCCTGCTGCCTTCCCACCTGTGCGAGCACCTTGGCTTATATTCTGAATCTTTTCCTCTTTATCATACATGCTTTCCACATTCAAGCTAGAAATGCGAATGGCAGTCCACGTGGACTCATCTGCTTTGTTCTCTAAGAGAAAGCTTTCTTTGGTGTATGGAATGCTGGCAAATTCCAGAAATTGCTTGATTTAATATAAAAGACAACCCTCTTTTGAGTAACCTACAGACATGCTGCGGTCACCTGGTTATGCTCCTGATATTTAAAAACGTGATTTAGTAGGTGAGGCAAGAGACCACGGACGGTCGTGAAGTTCACCGTCAGGGACACCACCTCTCCCCGAAGGCCTTAAGAGGTCTTCAGGAGACACCACGATCTTCCCTGCAAAGGCCCACCTTGGGCCACTCACATTTATTTTCCGTTCCGTCCATCTCTATCATCAGTTTGTCGATCTTCTCCTGCTCTGTGACGTTCAGTTTCTGTAAGGAGAAGGGAGGATGAGCTGCGTGGGAGACAGTGATGTCACTCTATTTGAATGACCTCTGCACTCCTGACATGGACTGATAAAACTTTGGAACTGGACAAAGTCTAAATCAGTTCTGTGCGGTGGGGGGAGGCGCGGCGGGAGGCAGAGAAGGGAGAATCAAGGGAAACAAACTTCAAGACAAAAAGGGAAAAATGCAAAGCTCCTTTCACTTGATAATTTAAGCGTTTCTCCAAGCACCGGGAGCCATGTGAAATATACAAGGTACAGTCCATGTGTCATAAAGGTTGTTCTCCCCAGAGACCAAAGTTATATTACGTTAACATGACTGTCTGGTGCGTGATAAATAAGGTGTTACTACAAAGTAGGGTGACTTTTTGGGCAATAAATAACAGAATTCACTGTTTATGCAAATGAGCTATGCTCTTCAAAGGTGGCTACACACTGCTGTCACTCTTGTGACCTTTGATCACAGCAAACTCCCTCGACTGATGAGTTTTCAGTAGTTCAAAATCATTTAGCAAGAGTTAATGATCAAAATGAATATTTTTGGTGGGATCATAAAGTCATAAAATTGACATCTTAAAAACTGGCTCAAAGTAATTTTCAATAAAAATTCGTATTTTAAAAACTTCATGATTGAATATTATTTTATATATTCTTTATATAGAAACTAACATATAAAAGGAAAATCATCTATAACGCCAATGTGCCACGTTAACAATGTGTCATCTTCTGCTCTTTTGACAAGGCATCTTTGGAAAGTCAGGATTTCAAGCAGATGGCTTCAGAGACCGACTCTCACCAAGAGTTCGACTGAAGGATGTTCCCAAGGGGAAAAAGAGCCCTGCTGTGGTTAGTCACACCAGGTAAGGGAACCAAGGCACAGAGAACAGGGGTGTGTGGGGTGCCCAGGAGACTGGGACGTGGGGTGTGCACTGGCAGAGCAGTAACGAGAAACTTCGGCTAGGGACCAATTAGAGTGCCGCTAAGGCCAGGCCAAAATAAACCGGCTAGGGAGAGAGACAGCGGAGTCCATCTGCCTCCAGCAAGCAGGATGAACTCGGCGTGGGGAGACTACACTCAGGGACAGAGGAGGTAGCTGTGGCTTTCGGCCTTGAGAAAGCTTCTCCAGCCAGAGATTTTTACACCGCTCCCTTCTGGGCAAGTACCACAGGAGCCATGGGGATATAAAAGAGGCAAAGTGGCCGAGCAGGTAGGGTTGGTGGGTCCCCAGCCTACGTCGCCTATAGCAGCTCTACTTTTATTCTGTTTGATGTATTGAGGTTCCAAGTAAGATTTTATTTAACGGGAGTTCCACTGTTAAAGTCAGTAGAAATACAGTAAATAACTCCACAGTTCATGAAAAACGAGTCAGTCGCCATGGACACTATGTCCAACACCCCTGATCTTAACTTCCCAGAGGTCAAGACAGTTGGAGGAAACAGTCAAGGCCCACGGCAGCCCCGCCTCCCTGAGCCAGCTCCACGCGTTTAGACGTGCACATGCAGGTGGGTTAGAAACAGCAAAATTATCCTCATGCTGACAGGACATCCAATCGGCTCCTTCAGCGCTCAGAATAAACGGGAAAGCCCCCGGCCCGGGAGACGCTCAGATGGCACTGATACACATTTGTTACCAGGAGGCGGGTCCTACCTTGCTAACCAGGGCAGGTGCAATAGTTTTATTGATGTGCTCAACAGCCTTTGAGACACCTAGAAAGAACAATTAAATCAAATTACTGACATTAATGAAAAACAGGCTTGAGCAGTACTGGAGAGCGCCCGCGATGCTAACCCAGACAGAAGCCCACCAAGAGACCTTCAACGGCGCCTCCTTCAAACCCCCAGCTCCCTCTCCCCCCGAAGTCAGAGGACTTTCTGGCCCAGTCTGAGTGCTTTATCTAGGACCCCAGGGTTAGAGCCGCATACAGAGCAACCCCCTCAGAATGTCTGAGGGACATTAGTTGGCAAGACCATGCACCAGATGCACCAGCTGCCGAAACTAAAAGACGTCCAGGGTCCAACGCATTACCTGCGTGCACAAGGCCGGTGCCAGGAACTCATTAATATACTTAACGGGTCTGGAGACACCTGACCAGTAGAGTGAAAGAGGAGGAAAAAGAAACAGAAGAGAAAGGCTGTGAAGGAACCGAGCGAGAGCGAGGAAACAGGAATGAGCTCCCCTCACACGAGCAGGGTGCAGCGCTGCCCGGCTCTTGCCAAGTGGCGGCCTGGGCCGTGTGCCGCGGTGACCCGTGGGAGAGCACCCTGCAGAGCGTGGAGCAGGACTGAGCACCCGGCCCTCCTACAGTGCGACTGCTGGGACTCTGGCACGGGGTTTCCCAGCCTTACTTCCTGTCTTCCCCTAAGGGCACACTGCGGCCCTTTGTGGGCCACGAACCACGGTAATATTGTGAGATTTTCTTCCCTCTCCACGAGAACCAATTTCCACCCTAGGGCGATAGAGTCCCACTGGCATTGCAGGGTCCTGCCCTCTACTTTTCTGTAACTTGGCCACACAGGCTAAGAGGTCAATCTGCATATAGCCCGCCAGGGGCCTGCTCAGCCAGAGCGGTGCTTCTGTTGAGTCAGTCAACAGATCAACCAACGACTGATCTATAGTAGACCCATCGGCCAGACCTTCCAGATACTTCCCTTTTAGACCCCTGAAGAGGGCTGATGGCCTGGAAGGTCCCCAGATCCCTCGCGGGAGACTGGCGAGACCTTTTGTTAGGATCAGTTAACATGTCTTCTCAACCTGAGGCTCCCTGGCCCACCTACTATAGAATTCTTGCCCCCGAGTTTACAGGTCTAGGAAACCTGGCACCAATAAGCCCACTCTCCAGCTCTTCCGTGTGCGGGGTGCAAGCTTGTGTAACACTTGGGCCAAACCATTATAAGCACTAGAGTGACGGGAGGCTGTGACTGGCCAGGAGCAGCGGTGGAGGCATGAAGACACGCTGCAGCCACGCTCCAGAGAAAGGCTGTGGGTGCCACTCTTACCCTTCCCCATGTAGCGTGTCTTGTCATTGTCCCGGAGCTCTAGGGCCTCGTAGATACCAGTTGAGGCACCACTGGGCACAGCGGCTCTGAAGAGACCTGGATGTTGTTGAGAGGGGAAAAAATGCTCGCGGTTAAGAAGCACTGCAGCTCTCACCCACGCCCCCATTCACAGATGGCTGGCTCGTTAGGAAACAGTTACTTCCTTCCACCAACTGGGAGACTCAGATGGTCTGTTCTTGACTTCCAAGATTTCATGATTCTGCAGTGCAGACCCTACAGTAAAACTGATGAATTTCTGTAGTTTAGAGCAGAGCTTCTCAAACTTTAATGTGCACACGTTATCACCTGGGGGTTTTCCAAAATGGGAGGTCAGCGAGTCTGCATCGCTAATGAGCTCACCAGGCTGGAGCCCAGACGCTGGTCTGTGGACCACCCCACGCCCAGCGGCAACAGAAATATAATGGGAGCCGCTTAGGGAACTTGACATTTCCTAGCAGCTGTACTGAAGCGAAAAAAATGCAATGTCATGTTTTACCCAGTGTATCCACTATTCAACATGCAATCAATAGAAACGTTACGAGGTGTTTCAGACAGTCCAGCTTTGAGAGCACTGTTGCTAAGTTTCCCCGGGACAACTCTGAGATCGAATTGCTAGCTTGCAAGACTTGAAAGTGTCGGCTCAAGAGGAACCTATAGCTTATGTGCTTCTGAGCAGTGATAAAGGCTATTTGAAGAGTTTTCTGCATAATAGGAAACCAGAAAACAGGGTAGACTGGGGGGGGGGGCGAGGAATAAAGACAATAAAGGTACAGAGTTTAATGACACTAGAACACAATTAAGCACTGAACCTCAGTCCCGCAGACACAGAAACCAGCCATCTGGCTAACCCGGACTGTGAAGCAACAAATGGCAAATCTTGGAGGACAGTGTCCTGGAAGGTACTGCAGAAATCTGGTTACATGGGGCAGACATGTTGGGGGAGCAGAAAGTATAGGCAGCCTCTGAATCTACTTGAAACTGAAAGGCATTTTCCCCTTTGAAGTACGCGAAGAACTGGTAGGTGTTTGGGGATGTGAAGGCACATGAACAAAGAGAAAAAAATCAACCAAGTATTTTAATCAAATGATCTGTTAGTATGCCTGTGTCACGGTCACAACGGTGTGAGGACATAGTCTTTCTGACACAGGCCCTGGCTTTCTATATATCCACATCAGGTACTGGACTAAGAAGTGACAAAAGCAAGAGTGACCCTAATGTAAACGATGGACGTGGTTGACAATGTGTCAGTGCAGGTGTGACTGTAACTGACATATCACTCTGGTGGGGATGGTGACAGTGGGGGATGTGGGACCTCTCTGTACCTTCTGCTTGATTTTGCTGTAAACCTAAAACTGTTCTAAAAAATTCTAAGAAAGAAACAAGTGATGAAAAGCTAACAAATGCACTATTTCCTCTTTTGTTTCTTTTTTGAGAAGGATTAAGATACAGAAGAATAAAAGTTCCATTTACTTACATTTCAAAAAATATTAACTTTCATCATTTTAAACTGCTTCAAAGAAAATGCTCCATTCCCAAAAAAGTGTCTTGGGTCTTTTTTTGTTGTTTAAAGTCCATTACCTTCCAAGTGGAAAATTCCACTGCTGACTAAGCAGGCCACTCTTTTAAGATGCAAGGAAATTCTGGGCATCCTCTGAAAACCCACGGGATTCGCCACGGAGCACACGCTCAGAAGCGGCCCCCACAGTAAGCGCTCTCCACAGCGAGTACCCACAGGCAGAAGCCAGGTGGACTTTAGCCCAATGACACCTAGATTCGAGAGGCCCCCCTCTCCTAGGCAACGGTGAGGGGACCAGAGGGGAGGGCAGGGAGGGGCCTGAGGCTCGAGAGCCAGGCCTGTGATTCACGGGCATGACTCAGCTCTGACTGGCAGGGCTGTGTGCTCAGCACCACTGGTGATTCTGCTTAAAGCTCCTCTTCCAGCCGCACCCACCACTTCCATTTTGAAAACAGCTGAGACACTGGTGGAGGCAACACGGGGCTATAGAAGCGCCGATTTTCTTAGTTAAAAAAGGGGGGAAACTTACAGCAGGTGAAACCAAGGGCCTCTGGAATGTCCCAACACCCAGAAGTAAAACCTGTCCCTGATCCTTGGTTTAAAAGTGATTTCTGGAATCAAAGACGATGGTGCTATATTCACACTTGCACTTGTTCATTTGGTCACATCGAGCTTCAAAGCAAACTAGTGACAAGGACACTTCTAGGGACATGGACGCCACGCCTGACAGCGCCCACAGGAAGGAAAGGCTTTCACAGCAACTCTTTCTTGCCTAAGGCTCTGTCATTTTAAGGAAGTTTTAAAAACTGGAGCGTGGTGGAAGGAACTACCAAAACAAGGGGGGCACATACCTTTCGAGGTGCAGAGATCCACCTCTACAGTGGGATTCCCACGGGAGTCGAAGATCTCTCTGGCATGGATCTTGAGAATAGACATGGTGAGTTCCTGTGGGGAAACAGTTCACGTTTTCCATAAACCATCATGCGGCCTTGAGGGATCACTTCTGAGGATTCCTCAACTAAAGGAATCTGTGTGGAAATAACACCTGCTGGAAAGAAGCGGGAATTGCTCCTACAAAGTAGGTTAGGCCCAGCTCTGCAAGGGCTTAACCCCCAGCAGGTCAGGCCTTGTCCTATGAACAGAAGAAGCCTGGAAAGGTGTGTGCCAGGGAAAAATCAA